ACTATCAATCTTAAAACCCAAAATAATACATCCTTGAGAAAAAGCAAAGAAATCCAAATATCAGGTAAGATGGAAAAATAAGTTGTAAAAGCACATACCGCGTTCAAATTGATTGTTTTTCATTGCATAGTGACCTTGGTACTCAGTTACTGTACCTTCCAATAGCTAACAGTGTAGAGAAAGTTTCATTCAGATAAATTAAGAGATGACAGAGTTGTCTTTCTAGAGCTCACCTGACTCAAGTTCTAGACAAAAGAATCACTAGCTATATCAAGGATTCACTATTCCAATGCAAATCTGCTCATGTATGCAGAGGAATACCAGTGTTAACCATGTTAAGAATATTATTTATATCACACCCATTTAATCAGAGATAAGAGAACTGACTTGTTTGAAGAGATACTGCCTGAAGTTTTGCACAGGACATCTAAAAAAGGGGGAAAAAAAAAAAAAGAAAAAAGAGAGGAGCAGAGAGGAGGGAAACAAGCAAATCCTGTCATTTCACTGGTGGCTCTCCTGCAACACACCATGCAAATTACAGATGTTTGGATCCCTACTGATGCTACCAATTTTTAATTTGGAAGATAATTTTACAATACATTAGAATGCTTTCCAGAAAGGCCATGCTGAACAAGACACATGGTAGACATATGAATCAGAAAGAGATAGCTGTCTACATCTTCAGAGTTTTACTAATTGTATTAATATGGTTAGCTTTAAGATAACAAGTACACATATGCCATTAAAATTCAAATATCTAGGATTAGTCACACAAGCCACAATCAACTTTCCTGGTAAAATCCATTTTGTTCTAAACACAGAGACATGTTTTTACCAGTCTGTCTCAAATTGTTTAAAAATAGAATCTGGCATGAATGCTAAAAATTCAAGATCTTCAAGCAGTTGTAAGCAACTAAACTAGGAAACAGGATAAATTAGCTGAAGAAATACGGGAGCTTTTCTAAAAGAATATACAAAGTTTCCGTCAATGAGACACAAAGTATTTCTCATTTGTCTGCAATAGAACTAAGAATTAATAACAACCCACTGTACACTCCTGAAGACCAAAAATGTTAGAAGAAAACATTTTAACCTTGGGTTAAAATAACCAAATCAAAGCACTGAGCAGGACACTAACAGAATTTATAAGAATTCATTTTAGTTCAGCAAACACTTGGACTTCAGTCATCTTTGGTCAGCAAACACTTTGACAAGTCAAAACATTTGTTAAGCCCCACAAAGCATCCCAAATTTACACCTCACTTATGACCTCCAATACCTTAGTATCCTTCTTCCTAATGATAGCAATTAACATGAAGAAGGAAATAATGGATGAATTGTAACACAAGAAATCAGATTATACACTACACAACTGTAAAGTCAAGAGCATAAGCAAGCACACGGGACAGTAGTTCAGGTTATAAATTAGAGAGATAGAATTTTTAGACAGATAGAAGCATCATATTTAAACAGAATCAATAGTGTAATTAGATGTTGTACTACAGCACAGCTGGGTAGCTCTGAGAGACCAGAGAATGCACAGGCAATCCCACTTCAAGCACTGGAAGCACTGATGTAAAGTTCAAGGTTCCCAAAAGCCAGCGTAAAAACTTCAGCAGGAAAAAAGTGACCTGTTTACACGATGAACTTTCTCTGCTCTTATTATAAATAAAAAGCTAATGGACAGCCTCACCCAGAGAAAGTACACTACAAAGCAGTCTTTGCAACAGAGATGAAATAAAAAGTGAAAGTTCTTGCAAATTAACAGGTAAAACTTCTTTCTAGAAATGATACTGTTAAATAAAGAAGTAGTAATGTTAGCATAAAACTGCATTTCAAGAAATCTGAAAAAAGCTGAAAAGCCAAAAATTAGTCAGAGAATTACATTAAAGGATCCTAGAGGGTTCAAAAAATGAGTAAAAGGAGTTAAAAGCTTGGCAATACATTTGCACATATAAGGAAACCACAGGGTTAAAACAGCAAAAAGTGAAAACATCTTTTGGGATCTTGCAGAGAAAAGCAGGGGATGTCAGAAGATTCTTAATCATTAATGTGGAGATTAAAGAAAATTTATCAAAGCAAAAGTAAAATTATTCATCATCATAGAGACTTAAGTCAACACAGCCTCAGAACTAGGAGAGGTAGGATTATGTTTATTTTAATATAAAATACAGTTGTCTGTAGATAGAGGTGATGCCTTGTGTTAGAAATGTGGGGTTTCCATATTCCCTAGTTTAATGGAGAACTCCTCTCCCACTTGGCTTTAGAAATGCAAAGAAAACAGACAACAATTATTGCACAACTATATGATCAGTAAGAATTATGTTTAAGTAAGTCCTTACTTATGTACTATAAGACAAAAGACACACACACACAGCAACATAATGACAAATGTCTTAATAGTACTCTTACTTCTACAAGCAAGCATAGTTTACAAAGTAATCCATATTTTTTCAGCCATTTGTATTTCAAAAGTAGCTAGGCTGCTGATACTCTCACTCCTGTGGCTTCTCAACAGGCACCTGCTAATGCCCATGATATTTCCAAATTTCACATCTCATGAAATCTGAGGGAGATAATTCATGACCAGGTGACACACATTTGTTCCTGTACCAAAACTGTCCCTCATCTAACTAAGCTTCAGATAATATTGCAGCAAGTATCTATTACTTCATCTAGCTGTTTAAAACTGATATCCTTCATTTAGAAAGGCCACATCTTGACAATGGATTCTGTCGACTAATGACAAGAAGCCAAACTTTCCAGTAAAGAAAGTTTCCCTCTCTAAGTACCCCCAAACTGTCAAATTTTTCCCTGGTTTTCACTTCAGTATAAATAAAATCACTGGCACAGCCATACAATTCTGTAAATGTCATTTTCAAAGAAGGATCCATGAGTAGCAGTACAAAGCTTAAATACAAAGATATTTTTTACTTAGGACTGATTTGACAGTGTCTCTTATATGACTTCTGAGAGTAAAAGGTAGAGTTCTATTTCTAAAAAAATATATAATTCCATTTCTGGTATTTCAGTATATCTGAAGACACCTATATAAACTACAGCTAGAACTATTTCAGAGTTGATCTATTTGTAAGACTACTGTAAATATTTTGTGATGCAGAAACCTAAAAGCAGATTACTACTTCAGATGCAGGCATTGTCTTGAGTGCACAGATTTTGAGACAAGCTGTTAGCCTCAGTGGTTTCAGAGCTGTGAGCAAGGCCTTGGCAAGAAGCCACATCCTCTCCCAAGAACTGCTGTAAAAGTGAATACTTCTACCAAGTAAGAACTGCCTCAAACTTGAGGTTTTCAGACTTCACAGTCTCGCCATCTCAAAATTATTTCCTCATCTCATTTTCACATCCCTTTTCTGCTGTGAAGACTCTGTTCCTCCAGCTGTTCCTTTATTCACACAGGAGTAATCATCCCTTACCTCTTTCTGCAGCTGCTACAGTGACAACAGCACCAGCTTCATGCTGTAATTGCTATGGTTGTCCAAGGGATTTTAACTAGGAGTGTCTGAAACTAACAAAACACTTGTCCAAATTTAAGAGTTTACATCTTAGGAGAGTGCCTAACGTGTTACCAAGATTGCTTCATCCCATCAAAGATATGTTTTAATACAAAGAGATAACATTTTACTCAGACTGCAAACAAAAATCTATGGAATACTTTTTTTATTCAGAGATTCAGCTTACTGATAAATTTATTTTTCCAATGTTCACAAACCTTTAGAGTGATATTTAAAATATTAACAGTACCATGTTCAGTATTCAAAATTATATCAGGGATGCATGTTTTTAATGCATTATAATTGAAAATCTGTATTCAGCATGCTTAACATTGGGTGATAATCAGAATACCTCAAGTCCAAGCAATAAGTGCAATTAATACAGACTCTACAGCATAGGTCAGCCATTGAAAAGCGATTTAGAAATAAAATAAAAACAATACCTCTTCTATGAACATCGCAATATCATCTCTAAACTCTTTGAAGCTTAAGTATATTTGAAATCATTCCCTCTTAATTCATCACGTGATAGGTAAACTAATCCTATACGGTTCCTCCTTTAATTAACACTGTTCTCCCTACTATTGCTATATTCAAAGAGGGGCAAGATATAATTTTTGAATCACTGCATTTCACCTCTGGAGCTCTGTCCACAATAAGCTCGAAATCTAAGAAGCTGAAACACGTAAACATCAATGTCTGATAGGAACACTTCCTCTCTAGAGTGGCGTGTATGGTTGCATAGTGACTGCAGAAGTACATACATCTTCTCCTCTTTCAAGCATGTTCTGCTACGCTAAGAAATGCTACTTTCCCTACTTAAATTGTCCACACGCAGCAGTTTATGAATACTCAGATCTGTTAAGGGGTTCTTTACTGGCAGGGTGGGGTGTGTGGAGATCGCTGCCTCATAAAATCTTCTGCTCGCGTTTTCCCGAGATTATTCCCCCTTGCCTCTGTATTTACAGAAAACACCAGCTCAGATGCTCCATCTACAACAGATAACATCACTTAGATCTAATGACCTGCGTTGCTAATTAGGTCAACCTGAGGAGATACTCCACATCCAAGTTTGGACACAAGAATAAAAGCGACCTGAAATTAGAGCATCCCGGTTCTACCCCCACCTCCCGGAGGAGCGGTCTGAGGGACGGATACCCATGGATGCCGAGGCCTGCCCGGCGCTCACCCCAACCCCTCTGGGGAGCCTCCGAGGGGCGTCCCCCCCGCCCAGGCCCGGCGAGTTTTCCCTCCACGTGAACGCCCTGGATAGGGAGCGGCGGGAATGCATGGGGTAAAACTCGGCCATCGGCCCCTGTGTCCCCCTCCCCGGCTCCCGCAGCGCCGGAGAAGGGGAGGGGAGGGCGGGGGAGGCGGGAGAAGGCGCAGCACCCCAGCGGTCCGCCTGGGGCTCCGGGTCGCCGCTGGAGCCCCCGCCTCCTCCCCGCAGAGCTACGTCCTCGCTCCCGCGGCAGCGGTGCCGCTCACCTCTCTTGGAGCCGGGGCTGGGGCTGCCGCCAGCGGCTCTGGAGCTCTTGCGCGAGGCCATCGCACCTCCTGTCGGGCCGCGCAGGGGGCGGAGCGGGAGCGGGAGCGCGTCGGGACCCGCGGCCGCCGCCACCCGACCGCGGTGCGCGAGCGCCCTGCGACCCCGGCAGCGCGGCCCCGAGAGGGCCTGCACCGCCCCCCCGCCCGCCGACAACCAATCGCGCCAGCGAGGCGGGGAGACACTTGCCTCCGATTGGCGGTGGCCCCTCGAGGGGGCGGGGCGATGGCGCTCCGGCTGCGCGCGCCCTGCGCGCTCCCGCGCCACCGCCGGCGCCTTTGAACGTGGCAAACGCGGGCGCGAGCGGCGGCTGCGGCCTCTCGCGAGGGTTCGGGCGCGCGCGCCGCGAGGGGGCGGGGTCGTCGTCGTCGGAGAGGGTGGAAAAGGTTGGGAAGGTAGAGTTGGATGACCTGGATGGCATGGTTCTTCCTACGGAGACTCCACTCAAAGCATCTCCGAGCGTGCATTAAACCGCCCTCTGCATCCAGTTAAATGCCCAAATTATGAGAAACATCATCAATGTGCATAAATATGTGAAGGGGGCATGGGGGAGTGCCAAGAGGATGGAGCTAGGCTCTTGTCAGAGGTGCCAAGCAATAGGGCAAGAGGACACAGGCAGAAACTGATGCACAGAAAGTTCCACCTGGACACAAGGCAGAACTTCTTTGCTGTGCGGGTGACTGAGCACTGAAACAGATTGCCCAGAGACATTGTGGAGTCTCCCTCACTGGAGATATTCCAGAACCGTTTGGTTTCAATCCTGTGCCATGTGCTCTGGGATGACCCTGCTTGAGCAAGGAGGTTGGATCAGATAACCCGCTGTGGTCCCTTTCAGTCTGACCCATCCTGTGACTGGTCTGTGGAACAGCTTGTCAAGCCTTCCAGGGAGCTCCTTTGCAATCACCGTAGTGAAAGGGTTTGGAGTACTTTACATCAGACTTTGAATTCCCCAAAAGGCTTTTTGAGGATTTAAAAGTACTTATAATCACCTGTGACAAAATAAGCCTCTTTTTTGCTGGAGTTCAGGGTGCCTCCTGGTACTCAATGATTCTCATTGAGACTGGATTAAGTAGCAGCTTGGCATAACAGTAAATGCCTGAAACATAAAAGCAAAACCCAGCCTTGAGTCCTGACCATAAATACCTTTCAGGTAAAAATAAACATTTCGCAAATTAGTGCCTTTGCAAGTGGATATGCAGAGAGGGAACCCTTGTTTCCCAAAAGCAAAAGTCAGCACTGTGTTTTGGACAGAGTAATGCTATGAAACTAACCAGGGACAGTAATTTACTGAAGAGCATAAGTCACTATTTTTAAATGAGATTTGCACTTACGTGCTTAGTCAAGTAACAGGATGGCAGTGTAGGTACTTTAGTCAGTAGAAGTATAAGCAACTAGTTTTGGGAACATCAAAAATAGTGACGTTTACTTCCTGGTATCACTCATGTGACTTAATTGGTATCTAGTACAGTTAAATATCTGAACTTTTTGCTTGGTTATGGCACTCTACCAAAGTTTTACATTCACGTGATGTGTAAGTACTTAATATCTTTTAGATACTCCGCTTTTGTTTTGCTATTAGTTATTTTAGAAACAGTAACACCTAATTTGATTTAAATTTGCCAGAGTGACTGTTGCAGCAAATGATATGACAATCCCTTCTGATCTGAAATACAATGAAAATTGAAGCAAATATTTAAAATATTTTATTTTGGGAAAGGTGTCAAAGAGAAAAGCCCACAGTGTGGGTAGGTCATTTTTTAATCTACTCAATTGTTTTAGAGCTATATGTTTGGTACATTGTAAGGGTATGCAGGAAACCACAAAAAGATAAATACTGTCTTTTTTTGTAGGAGGAAAAGAAACAGGGCAGAAAAAGAATGTAACAATGAGAAGGAGCAAGTCTGTAAAGCAAGGACAAAAAAAATGAAAGCCAGAGGGGAAAAAAAAAAGTAATAAAACCAGAAAACAAGTTATATGTAAAGGCAAGGTATACGAGACAGACCACACAGTGGTCAGTTGGAGTCTTTCCCCTTGTATTAGGCTTTTCAAAACAGAAAAAAAAAATCCTTTCTCTTGGCAAGAATCACATTTACCCTCACTCTGAACTGTCCTAATTGACTGTTTGTTGAGACTACAGCAATTTAAATTATGCTGCATATCATAAATCACTGTATTAAAAGAATGCCACCGATTAATGAGCCGTGTTTGGAAAATAAATGCGTGTTTTTACTGAGAATTTAATTTCCATAAATACCTTTTCATTCATGTACTCACAGCTGTTCTGCTGTCCTGACTCAGTCAGGCACAGTGACTCTGCTATTTGAGAGAAAGAAATACGTCCAAGGTGATAAGCAGAAGCAGCAATGAAATAATTACACAAAAGGAGGATTCTGTCTCTAGTCTCCTAATTTCTAAAAGAATTGCACGTTATAAGAAGGCTTAAAGAGTTCAGTCTTATTCTGTTCATGTTCCTAAGCGATGTTATTCATGTGTTGATCATTCTAACAGCTGTCCATTCAATTGCATACATTTCTCATAAATAAATGAGTTTCAATTAATTACTAGGAGAAAGCACATTTTCCAACTAGAGAAGAAAAATAATTTATTACTTAATACATTGAATTGAAAAGAGGTAGGGAATTCCCAGGATATAATTAAAAATAATATGTCAAAATCTCTAAGATAGTATAAGACTTTCTATTGAAAACTTTGGCATTTAGAGTTTTAAGGTTTTTGATTGCCTAGATACTATTTTTTTTCATGAATGGTGAGTGAACTATGCACCTTGCTAGCTAGTTGGAAAAGGTGCCTTGGGTAAATATAGAACAAAGAGAGTGATGAACAGGTTTTGCTGTTAGTTTTCCGGATTATCAAGTTGACACTTGAACTGCTGGTCAGCTTTCTGGTTTCTAACGGGCTTACAGGCAGTACAGAGAATCAACATCCAGCCATTTGCATTTGTCAGCCAAGATTCACCACAGATCAAATGTTTTGGGAAGAGGGGAAGAAAAGAGAAGGCAAAGAGTGTCTCAGTTATCCAAGCCTAAACAACTGCACTGTCTGGGTTGGTGTTGCAGTTACACCTAGTTGAACCTAAAACAAAGTAAGGTATAGTTGAGTTGGTTGTTCATAAGGAGAAATTTTCTCTTTATTTATTTATTTATTTTAACTGTACTTTTTCTGTCAATAGACATCAGTTTTAGATTTGTGCATTCTTATATAAACACTGGAACATTTTCTAAATAGCTGGTGATACTGACAAATAGAAAGCAGTCATTTGCTGGAGGAGCATTGAGAAGGATGTAATTATCCTGAATATAAGATGCATAGAGAAGCTGAGCCAGGTGAAACATGTCGAGTTCAGGCAAAGCTAAGGTTGAAGTGAAGTTTGATTTAAAATTGCTAAGATAAATTGTAGGCTATTATTAAGTCTAGGTCAAAAGCTTGTTCTCATTGCTCTCAGCTGATTTATGTCAACCTCCCCAGCGAATAACTCAAATAACTATTGGCCTTTGGATAGGTTGTATGACCTAGTAGTCTGGAATTTGTTTCAGTGTTGCTTGGATTCTGCAGGTCTTACTGCAGATTGTGCCAGGTCTGATTCAGGTAAACTGATCCCTGTGAGTGTAATGAATGAAGTGAATGAAGCAAACTTCTCAGAGCAAGATTTTTTCTTCTGGTGATTAGATTTTGCATAAACTGTGAAGATTATTTGGAATTTTAGTGGGGCCTTTTGTCACATCCCTATGCACCAGCAGAGGAAGGTGTGGATTTGTTTCCTAAAGCATGAGATGCTCAGAAAAAAAGAACAAACATTTATTTGTGCACCTGTAACAGTTACTTGTAATCTGAATTCTTAGAAGGACCATCAGAGATAAGCCTTGAAAGATATTTAAACTAGAAATCACCTTCCAGATGGATTGAGAGCAACTGGTGGAGCTCAAATACTGCAAAACACTGGTTGACTACAGATAAAGATTACAAGAAACCAGAAACAGTATTATTTCAATTGTCTTGGGTGAAAATACAGTCCCCATTAGAGTGGCAACAAGAGAATGAGGCTTAGTCAGTCATTTCCAACACATGACATCATACATGTTAATGAAATTAGCAAGAAAAATAAGAAGGAAAAGGTACTTTTCTGCCAACTTTCCAGTCTGCTGCTTTCCAGAGACTTAAATTGTTCAGCAAAAGGCATCAATAAGATCTCCAGCCTACCACTACATTTGGTAAAGCTGCTGGGCAAAGTAGTGATACAAAATGAGCTATCTGAATTGCAGAAATGCGGATGTTCTGGAGTTTTGTTGTTTGTTTAAAAAACCAAAAACTTCTATTTGTCATAAATTAGGATGTTCTTAAGCTTGGAGAATATGAATATCTGAACAGAAATAGCAATCCACTTAGTAAGTTGTCCTGATGGATGGTCCATTACCATGAGTGATTTAGCAGCTTTCAGAATCAATCTGGAGTATTCTTATCAAATCAGCAACCACCAACAGCTGCTTGCCCCAGATGCCATATCTGAACTAGTCTTGCTTTACCTTCACACTGTCTAATAAAGTAATTTTGTGAATTTTCCCCATTAGAAAAGAATACAAATTCTCCAAGGAGCAGCAGAATACAGAATGCCTAAATTTCTAGAGATTTGTTTCCTTTGTCTCCAAAAACTCTCTCCTACCTCTGCTTCAGTAGCCTCCCATCTTCCACTGAGAATTGTGATCAACCCCATGGGATACTCAGATAATGTGTACATCTGGTTAGTACAGACCTGAATGGCTGGCATATTCTGGCCAGCACATACTTGCTGATTAGTCATCCTATTGGCAAATTAAAGAACTGAGTCCTCTCTAGTGAACTTTGTATCTTCAGTTATAAACAAATACCACTCAAGTTTATTTAACATATGAAATGTTCTGCAACCTTGAGAAGCTTTTACATGCTCAGTCATTCCAGATATAAAATGGAAGAGATTCACTTAGCTGTATTTAGAAGAATTCAAAAACTGAAAGCGCCTGCAAAACATACATAAACAATAACTAGTATTGTTTAAAAAAAAATAGCTGTAACTGATAGAGTTTT